AGCAGGAATAAATTGATTTCCTTTCATATAATAAAAGCGGGAAATTGCAAGTTCACTGCTATTCACTGATTTTACAACCTCCTTAGTGTGGGAGACCCAGTTAGCATTGTAATGGAAATGTATACCAAGGTATCTGAAACTCTTCACCTGTTCGATAGGATTTCCTCAAACAGTCCATTTAGAGGGTTTCCAACTCCGACCAAACACAATAATTTTTGACTTATCAAAATTGAGGGACAGCAGGTTCTTATCACAATATACTGAAAAGTGCATTAGCATCCTTTTCATCCCAACCTTTGAAAGTGACAGGACAGCGTCATCAGCATATAACAATATCGGGCAGTGCTGAATAACAAGACAGAGTTTCTTAGTAACCAGATTAGAACTCTATCAGACTGCAAGTGCACAACGCTCAGTAAAGGTATTTCTAATGAGTCCAGTATGCAGGTGGATCCAAAGGAGGGAGATCTAAAGTGGGGTCCTGTTAGTAATCACGGACTAAAGGCAGACAATTATGATAAACCCCTCCAATTAGTGTTACGTCCTGCCAAAGTCTGTCTGAATATCTTCCCTTTTAGGGGTAGTACCACAAACTGGAACACCAGAATGGCAGTCAAGAAACACCTGAAAGCACTGATGGGCGACCGGCTGGAGGTGAGCGATCTAACAGACCTCGAAGTTCTACCCAGAGTGGATAGGTATGATAGAGTACTCCTTACCTTCAATATTTCGTATATCCCAGCCCTCCTTCTGAAGAACAAAAGGTTTCTCTGGTCAAGAGGCATCTCTCCAACGCGGGTCTTTGCGAATGAAATGCTGAAGCCTCTTTTATTAAGGATTAGTGCTCCAGATTCCCAGTTCCATTCTCAAAGTATACCTCCAAGTCCCAGTGATATTAAGGATCCAACCAAGGGAGATGATACAGTTAATAAGATCAACTCAAACATTATTTGTCAAGAGTTGACACAAGACAAAGATCTCATCGATGATGAAGTGCAGAAAGTGTTCATCAAGATAGCAGACCATGAGCAGAGCAGAATGATCAACAGATTGGAGAGACTGAGGGACAAGCTGGTTAAGTTTAGAATGGGCAGCCAACAGACCTCCACTAGCTTTGTTGTTAGTAATGCTTTCTAAGGCCCATTTGACTTCGGATTCCAGGATGTCTGGCTCAAGGTCAGTGATTACACCGTTGTGGTTGTCAAGGACATTGAGGTCCTTCTTGTATAGTTCTTCTGTGTATTCTTGCCATCTTTTCCTAATCTCTTCTGCTTCTGTTAGGTCCCTACCATTTTTGTCCTTTATCATGCCCAGCTTTTCATGAAACGATCCCTTGATTTCTCCAATTTTCTTGAAGAGATCTCTAGTCCTTCCAATTCTATTGTTTTCCTCTATTACTTTGCATTGTTCATTCAGGAAAGCCTCCTTATCTCTCCTTGCAAGCCTCCTTATCTCTCCTTGAAAGCCTCTTTATCTCTCCTTATCTATCCCAGCAAGGAGAGATGGCTGACTAAGTAAAATCTGTGATTTTCAGTACTCTCAAAATCTCATAAGAAATGCATCAGAAGCAACTAGAAGAACTCCTGGTTGGTGATGGCATATACCCCCATCTGTTGGGGCAAAAAGTCAAACTAATCGCATGTGCTGGGTTAAGGTGGCCATATGGTCAGTGGATCAGATCATGGAGTTTATAATGCTGGAGCAGTATGTGCCTCTATATTTAGTTCCAGTCAAAAACTGGTTGCTGTGCCATGACTCAGAGATGCTGGAGTAGGCAATCATGCTGATGGAGATACACTGCAGCCAAAGTCTGAGCATCTCTCAGTGCAAGGATCCTGAGAACTCAGGGTAAGAGATGGCAGGGGGGTTACAAGAGGGCCATGGAGTAGAAACAACACCCAAACCACCACAAGGTGATGCCCATGATGCTGGTGAAGTGGCTGACTGACACTCTCCCTGAGGCCTCCACCTGTGGTGGGTGACAGTGGACCTGGGGGTGACCCTGAAGTGTTGAGCTGCAGCATTGTTTGTTATGCTTGTGGCCAAAGAAGGCATATCAAGTGGGAATGCTCCCACATGGATTGTTCCTTGGCTGAGGCTTGGTTGGCCACCCAGATAGGGAGTCCAGCAGTGAGGGATGTGTTCTTGACTATAATGGATGCAAGGGTGTTCCAGGCCCTAATAGACACAGGAAGTGTCCAAATCCTGTCACAATATTGATGAGGGAAGGTCAACAGAGGGTGGATTTGTCTTTGGTACATCCACAGAGATGTGAAAACTTACCCCATCCATTTGGTCACCCTTTCAGTATAGGGACAGCAGTGGCAGATACAGGTGGCTGTGTTACCATAGTTGAATCCAGAAGGAGGTGTAACACTACTGTGCCTCCTGTCCACAATGTCAGAAGACCTAGGGTAGTGGCCCTAAGTGGAGCAAGTTGGTGCTCATGCCTATCACAACTACCCCCTTTGAAAGGACAGACATTGACCCAGTAGGCCCACAAGAACAATAAGCGGAGAGAAGCATACCTACATTTTAGTGATATCTGGAAGTTGTGCTCCCCCATAGTATCACCTCCAAAGCAATAGCATGAGAGTTGATCCAAGTATTTGCACAGGTGGGGTTCTCAAATGAGATAGTTTCTGACCAAGGGCTCAACCTTACAGGTCAAGTCTTTCAACAAATGTGGGAGATGTTGCGGATTACACCCATTCAGGCCTTGGTGTACCATGCCCAGACCAACAGGCTAGTAGAATGATTCAGAGGGACTGTTGAGTGCATGCTCTGGAAATTTGTACAGGAAGAACACCACCAATAGCACCAGTGGTTGGGCCTGCTTATGTCTGTAGTCTATGAAGCACCACTGGCTGGAATGGTTGGCTGTCGCATATATTGATGACATTATGATTTTAGCCAGTCTTGGATGAAGCACTTACAATACCTGCAAGCCGTGCTCAAGCACCTATAGCACACGAGACTCACAGCCAGTCTAACAAATTGTTGTATAACCCATGCCAATGTGAAATATTTGGGGTTATTTGTGGAAGCAGGGAAGGTGCAGCCCTAGGATCATAAAGTACGTGTCCTGATTGTCTAGGAACAGTCAAATACAAAAAAGAGGGTACAGAAGTTCCTGGGGTTGGCAGTATAATACTGTAGGCTCATGCCTTACTCTGCTACTATATCCTGTCCCCTAACTGAGCTGATCCAAAAGTGTCAACCCAACAAGGTAGCATGGACTCCAGCAGCAGTTGCATCCTTTGAGAACCTTCAGGCTGCTCTATCACAAGACCCAGTTCTGCAAATCCTGGATCCTACCCAACTGTTTACATTGGAAACTGATGCTTTGGGTGGGATTGGGGGTGGTAATATCACAAGGACTAGGGAACAAAGCACACCCTGTCCTATTTCTGAGCCTTAAGCCTAGCAAGTGGGAAAGGTGGTACACAGTGATTGAGAGGGAAATCCTCATTATAGAGGCCCTCTGACATTATCAATGGGGTGCCCCTTTTACATTAATCTCTGATCACACTCCACTGCAATACTTGAGACGTTTGGAAAAGACAAACCTCCAACTGACCAGGTGGGTATTTAGCCCTGCAGCTGTATTCCTTCATGGTAGTGCACAAGGCAGGTTGGGCGCATCTCAATGCTGATTTTTTCTCCTGCCAGGCAGAAGACCAGATAGAATTGGCGGAACCCTCCAGATCCCTTCTGGAGAGGGGAGCAGTCTGTAGCAGGGAGGCTCCTGATGGGCTGATGTGGGAGAAAGGGGTTAGAAGGAAATCGCTGCAACCCTGCATGGAAACTCACTGGTGGGAGGGGCACCTTTATCAGCAAGAGAGCCTAAGAGTTAACCCAGGCTCCAGAGCAGATGGAACCTAACTGGCAGCTGAGAAACCAGTTTGGACAAAGCTGGCAAGGATTCCTAGGGGTGATAGGGAAGAGGAGCTCCACTCTCTAGGAGAATTGGGTGAGATTATCACAGGAGGGGGGATCTCAGCCTAGAAGCAGAGATAGCAAATAAAAGACGCAAGCAACAAGGCAGGAGGGGGGGTCAGGGAGAAGGCCCTGAAGAGAAAGTCAAGCAGGTTGATGTGAGTTTGTTGGAAGATTCTCACAGAAAACTGAGTTGGCTGGCAAGTTAAACAATGCTACAACAGTTACATTTAGTGCTATCTGTCTAGTAATTGCAACAAGAAAAGGTGAGAGCATGGACAAACAACCACCCCCAAGCTTTCTATGTCCTTTCTTGCTCACAATGAATTTTTTAAAATTTGGGCACGCATTTAGTGGCCAAGATTAACTGCAGGGGGGATATATGTGAACTGGTTTGTGTATAAGTGTTGTTTTCTTTTGGCTAACCAAGCATGAGTCTCCAGGATGGAAAATAAGCCACAAGAGTATATTTGTGAGAGAAGAAATAGAGTGAATAAATAAATAAGTACAAAGTTATGTCCCCAGAACCTTTTCAAAAATTCAGTGGGTAAATGGAGAGTCACTGCAGTTTCTTTGACTAATCAGTATAGAGACCTGCCTCCTCTGCCTCTCTGGGACTTTCGTTTGGCTGTTGGTCTGTGAAGAGCCAACTTTGGCATGAAGTTGAGATGGCCTAGAGATGCAGATCCAGCAGGTAGCCCCATTCACTAGCAGAATGACAAGTCTCAAGTGCCCATGTTGAAATAGTAGGTATAGCTGCTTTATGGTCAGTGGAGCTTTAGGACACGGGGGTTTGCTGACTTTGAACAATGGCATACAGGTGCCATTCACTCCAGTGAAGCCAGAGGTTGCTTTTGTCATCAACCTGCGTGTATAATTCTGTGGTCCAAATGACAGAGTTTGGAAGCCAGTTTTCACAAACTTTTTCTATAAATTTGTATGGACGGTGCTTTAATTGGCACCTCAGTCAATTGTCCATAAGTGCGCTGTGCACGTGTCTGCATTGTCTTCATCTGTATGCACAGTCCTGATGATTCTGCAGCTCTAGACTCTGTACCGCGGCAAACATTTAAATTAATTTTAAAAATCTTACCTCAAAACTGACAGAGCCGTCATGGTCAGTGTCAAATGCGTTGAAAAGAAAAGTTGCATATGTACTGGAATCTGAAGAGAGGGGCATCAAATCAAGTGATTAGGAGGCACTAGGCAGTGCACCTTTTACCAAATTTCAGCAAATGACTAGAGAGCAGGAAGGGAATAACCAGAATAAGTCTATAGCTGAGCTTTTGGAATGACTGCTTTTAGGTGCCATGAATCGGAGTGCCCTGATCACACTACATCACAGTTATTTGAGGCAACAAAGTGGATTTGGCGTAGTGACGGGGAACTATCAAATGCTTCAGGAAGATGGTACGGCTCCCTCCATTGTATCCTACATTGTTTCTAGCAGCACTCAAACCATTGCCCTTGCCTGGCCTCCCATCCTCACCAAACCAACTGCATAGATAGGATTAGCGCTCACCTCCTTGTGGGAAGAACTGTGAGTAGATCTGCTTGAAGCTCTCTTCATTAACAATGCCACTAGGGCACTCCTGTCAAATGGAAAAGTGCAAACAAGTTCACCTTAGAATAGCCAGTTTTGACAGTACCCTTTGGTAGAACCAATATGGTATGTAGTCAAGGAGAATTCTGATGTGGCTTATACTCCTGGGGGCCCGATTACAGGCATCCCAGATAAGTCTGTCTGTTGCTGGATCACTGGGTTTTTGCTGACTCACACCTGGTGCAGTGAATATGAGCAGCAGAAAAATCTTTGTAAGCAGTCAAATTCTATGTTATTGGTATGATTCTACGTATGCCCAACTCTTGAATTTGAATAATTGCTGTTTGGATAAACAGCAAACATCTTTGGATAAACAGATGAGAGACTGCAAACAATTTGGGAGTTTTCTGAAGAAGAGCAGTTTCAAAACAGATTCAAACTCCCTATTCATCATCATTGGTTATCAGCTGAATGTTGTATTTATTGGGTGATTTCCATTTTGATGTGTATTGCTATTATTGTATAATTGGCTGAACAAACTATCTATTTTTATTTTGTCATCCATTTTTGTGGTTATGTGAATGTTGATAGTTTCAGGTGCACAGCTGTGTTGGTTTGCAGTAGGAGAGCCAGATTTGAGTCCAGTAGCATGTTAAAGACCAACAAGATTTCCAGGGCAGAAGCTTTTGAGACTCAAACCCACCTTTATCAGATATCAAGCTGGAAAACAGTAGCCTAGCTGCAGTTATCAAATTTAATACTACAGCCTGATATCTTTTAGATACCATTGTAATATAATTAAATAATAATGTTTCTGGTCTTAGTGGAATTTTAATACTTAAACTCTGTTGTAATTTGCCTACTATTATTTTTCAGAATATTTTGGCTCATTCACATAGATACCACATATGAATGAAATCTCCATTTAAAGATTTACAGTACCAACATATATCTGTATATGATGTATATGTTTTAGTCAATTTCTGTGGCATAAATATGCATTAATATATCATCTCATTTAAATAAGAGACACGCCAAGAAGAAGATCCACATGAAAAAATATATTTCCAAGCTTCATCAAAGACTTCATTACTCAAATCCTGTTTCTAATAGAAATGTTGGTCTACCATTAATATTAAAGCTAAGTAAAATGTCATACACTGTAGAGAGTATATACATAGGTCATTGATAGTTCAAATTCAGTGAGATTCCTAATTCCCAAACCTCTGAAACTACTTTTGGACAAGAAACTCTTAACTACAAGTATTCAGATACTGAATACAAGTATTCAGCTGCGGTGGCTCAAGTGGTTAAGACGCTGAACTACAGGCTGTAGAAGGTCAGTAGTTCAGCAGTTCGAGACCCGGGTGCCGCAAGACGGAGTGAGCTCCCGTCTCTAGTTCCAGCTCCTGCCAACCTAGCAGTTCGAAAGCACCAAATTTCAAGTAGATAAATAGGTACCACTTCGGTGGGAAGGTAACAGCGTTCCGTGCGCCTTGGTGTTTAGTCATGCCGGCCACATGACCATGGAAACGTCTTCGGACAGCGCTGGCTTTGAAACGGAGATGAGCACCGCAACCCTAGAGTGGGATTCGACTGGCTTTCAAGCAAGGGAAACCTTTACCTTTACCTTTATCTTAGCATTACTCATTTTGGAGACATGGTTACATACACTGTTATCAACAGGGATTAATCTCATAAATATGTCATCCAGATAATTCCCACTTTATAAGGGGTCCAAATTAAAATCCTATTGAATTCCCTCACAGCAGAAGTGAGGGGAGTGGTGTTCCAGATGACATTTTCTTTCTATACAAATCCCAAATGTGTAGCAAGCTATTTGTTACATACTTATTATAAATACAGACCTTTTTTCTCTCTGATTTTTAAACCAGGGGAAGTCTTTAAAGACATGTTTACAAAAGTTCACTCAATTGCAATTTCAGAAAAATCTATATTGTCCATGACCCACCTGGCAACCCATACTAACTTTGCAGCATCATGACATAAGTTAATATTTGATATTCCTAGGCCTCCTCTGTCTCATCTGTTTTGAGCTATGGACCACCTTATTTATTTATTTGACTTTTAGCCCACTCCTTTCCCTGCCAAGCAGGGCTCAGGGTGGCTACCTTATCCTAGGTTTCTTATTTTTTCCAAATAAATTAGGTGACCTTACTTTGCCAGTCCTTTAGATATTCACCTGTAATTACCATCAGTCAGTCAGCTACCAAATTGTTAAGTTCTTGACTGCATTAATGCATAGGTCAATTAAAAGTTTCCGATAAAGTCAGTTCACTTTTATTGTTCATAATTACTGTCTCGAAAATGTTTTTAAGAAAATCAATGTTGTCTCATCCTAGTTTGATCCCTAAATATGTAATTTGCTTGCTAATAATATTAATTTTTGTTATCCAGTTTTGCAAACTTAGGGCCTTTAAGTTTGTAAAAGAATTTGTAATCAGTGCTTTTTGAATATTGCTCTGCAAACAAATTTATTTTATAGTTATAAGATCCCACCTCTATACCTTTTATCTTCTGTGAGTAACAAACTGCGATTGCCAAAGGTTCTAGAGGTATATTAAATAGTAATACCAATAGGGAGCAACCTTGTTTTACACCTCTGTGAATATTAATTGATAAAGAAAATGTATTGTGCAACCAAGTTTATAGAGGATCTAGAATAAATTATTTTAACCCAGTCTGTAAACATTTTCCAAAACTAATAGACATTTTAACAAAAAATTGATGTTCAGCCCTATCAAAAGCCTTTTCAGCATATAAAATCAAGCTCAGAGGAAGCTTTAGCCCCTGTGCTGAGCACCTGCTACTCACATTGCATGAAGAGGAAATTCTTATAGTGGTACTATGAGATAACCACCTCTCAGGCAGGAGGAACTGGGTGGTTTAAAGACATTCAGTACAATTGCTGCTCCATCTGCAAATACTGAACACACAGATCCAGTTCCATAGGAAATGGTATTTCCCAAACTGGGGGAGGGACTGGGTGGTGTGTGGCAGTGGTCTCTGGAGTCATAGCAGAGTGTCAGGCTACCCAGGTGAGCAGCACGGGACTTGGTCTCTGATACCAAGGAAGGGGAGGAGCTTCCAGGACTTAGCCTAAGATTGGGCAGAGCTTTGTTAGCAGCACCTCTCCTTGGTCACAAGAGGCCAGCACAGTAGTAACATAGCTAATAAGCAAGTTACCAAAGGGAAAAGGTGTACAAAAATGCAAGGTGTAGATTTATAATGGATGTCTCTTAACACTGGGGAAAACAACCACCACACTTTCTCCTTCCCCTCCCCTCCCACCCCAAAAGCTCCATAGGCTTATATGTATTCCAGCTTGATTTTTTTTCCAACTCACATTTTTGAAGCCCCTGTACAAGACCTGCAGTTCCTTGCGGGTGAACTTGGTTTGCTCCTGCAGCTGGTCCAGGCCCTCGGGCCGGTGACAAACAGTGGAGAGTTCATATTCATCCTCTATACTGTCTGCAAGAAGAGGAAATGCCTCAGAAGTATGACACTTACAAACCCTACCCCCTACCCCACTTTCATCCCCCCTGCTTCATCCTTTTCCTCTCTAAGACAGATTTGCTCCAATCCCTGAACAGGCACAAGCCAAGTTGTTCTATGCAGCTAAAACTTGGGTAGAATCTGCTCCCTTTTTCCCTGGTACAAGCACACAACATTTATTTATTTATTTATTTATTTATTTATTTATTTATTTAGGGATTTGTACCCCGCCCTATCCGGTGGCTCAGGGCGGCTAACAACGGCCAAGCCGAATTTCAAATCTAAAACAATAGACAATATTACATACGATAAAATTCAGTGCTACAGTATTTCATATAAAAACCAAGATGCATGACATCCAGGGGTCATTTCGTAGAAAAAGAGCTAGGGGAACTCATTAGCATAACTCATTAGCATATGCCACACCCCCTGACATCAGGGGCCCGGCGGTGGACCTGCAAGGCCAGCGGGAGTGCGAGGAAGCCCCGCCAAGGCCCTCCCTGGCCCCAGGCAGGCAGGGGTGGGGAGAGGCGGAGAGGAAGCAACTTACCCTCCCTCTTCTCCTGCCTCCTCCTGGCTGAATGAGGGCTGGAAGCAGGGCAGCCAGAAGCAGGGGCGGGGCTTCATCATGTGCCCCGCCCCCTGCACCTCACCCGGGGGAACTGTGTTCCCCCGCGTTCCCCCCCAAAATGACCTCTGACGACATCCCACGTTGGCGGCCAATTTCTTAATTGCATGAGCACCAAGAGTAGTATTTCCCGGCTCATGGGCGACATCTATCTCCCCAAATAATGGGGTAGATGAATGATGAACTCTCAATGGTGGAATAGTGGCGGCGGCGGCTCCTCCTCAAAGGCCTGGCGGAAGAGCTCCGTCTTGCAGGCCCTGCGGAACTGCACAAGGTACTGCAGGGCCTGGATCTCCTCTGGGAGCTCGTTCCACCAGGTAGGAGCCGCCGCCGAAAATGCCCTAGCCTTAGTTTGGGCAAGCTTCACACTTTGGGGGCCTGGTACTTCCAGGAGGTGGGTATTCCCCGATCGCAGTGCTCTTGAGGGTACATACGGGAAGAGGCGGTCCCTTAGGTAAGCCGGACCCTGGCCAACATTTATATGTGCACACAATTATGCTTCTTATCAATCCATCGGAATCACAATATAATTGCAACTGGAGAGCTCATGCCCCAGTGGTCTCATTTTATTCTACAGGAGATCTAGACCCTCAGCCTAATCAGTCAAGGCCCCTGCTTTTGGAATGTTTGTTGGCCTCACATCGTACAGGGGAAGAGAGAAGAAAAGCATTAATTCTGGTTGTATTAGAACAGAAACAGAAGACCAGGGTTAGTTTATAATATGGATCTGGGACAAAATTTAATCCAAATGGGAAGCAAATGCCCAGTGTTATGCGCTCCCCACTTCCCCCAGGCAGAACAATCATCATTCCCTCTGTAAATTCCAAACTGCTTCAGTTTTAGTAAATTTGGTTTTAGCAGAAAGTTGACTCTTAGTGTCCAAATGCAAACTGCTAACAACTTTCCAAAGGCAAGGGAGAGAGATTTCTAGTAATCAAGAAATATTCAGCCCATTAGTTGCTAAGTAAGAAAAATATCCTATAGTAATAGGCTCATCCACAGTAATCAAGACAGGCAATTGCCACCATCAGAGAATAAGCAACCAAGGCAGAGGCAGTTCTAGTTGGAACCACAGACACACTCTTCCCAAACAGTGACAGGAAATGAAGTACAGGCATTAAAAAATCTGAATCTTTGTGGAAAATAAACCCTCTCCTAGGAACCTTTTGATGACTGAGTGTCCCAGATCAGGCAGCACAGCTTTCCCTGTCCCCGATGCTATCCCCACTCACCATACTGAGGCCCCTAGAGGAATCCATTGGGCTGGCTGCAACTAAAAGCTCTGACCCCATAGCACATCTAGCCAGCAGGACCATGCCCACTAAGTGCAATAGGGTAAAATCCCTCTGTGCAGCTCAGCTGGCCAATGGGGGCCATGCCCTCTGAGCACAACAGTGGTCCAATGTGACCAAAAGACAAAGTGCCAGTTGGATGGACAGCGTGTCAGGATGAACTGCTGGGGCACAGCTCCAGCTGAAGGACTGCAGGAGGAACCTTGAGGGCCAATTGACTTGTTAAGAAGAGTGTGGGGCATGCAAAGGCTGCGAGGGCTTATTTACACCCTTGCAGCCAGAGCCCCAAGTCCAACAATCTATCCAGAGCACTGGAGTGTTTGCCCTGAGAATGGAAATCTTATTTAGCAACTTCTCTGGCTATTTTCACTAGGCACTGCCCATTCAACTTTCAAACATACATTTCAAGCATATTGGCATCAGATGAAGTGAGCTCTAATTCACAACAGCTATACTGGAATAAATGTTGTTAGTCTTTAAGGTACCACTAGACTCATGTTCAGTTTGCTTCTACAGACTAGCATGTCTTCTCTCTGGAATTAAGCATATTTTTGCAATTCAGAAGGACTAGAAACCTTGCTTTCACAAAAAGGTGGGATTATCATGAAGCTTGACTGTATACTTAGTACCAGGGCTTTTTTGTAGAAAAAGCCCAGCAGGAACTCATTAGCATAATAGGCCACACCCAACAGCAGAAATTTATTGGCATATTAGGCCACACCCCCGACAGTGCAGCACATTAGCATATTAGGACACACCCCCATGCCTTCCCTTGGCTTGTCTGGGCACCCCGCGGCTGCGGGGAGCCCGGGCAAGCCCCACCCCTTGAAGGGAAGGAAGGCAGTTTAAACTGCCTTCCCTTGGCTTGCCCAGGCGCCCCATGGCTGTGGGGAGCCCGGGCAAGCCAGCCCTTAGACAGGCCGGGGAAGACACGGGCTGGCATTTAAATTCTTCCTGATCCTTCCAGGGGGCCCCTGGCCCGCCCACCTCAGAGTCGCCGGTGGGGGGGGGGTGTCGCTCTCCAGGCCTTCCCTCTGTAGCCACGCATGCAGAGGTTTTGGCTGTAGTGGGCATGGCCAACTCTGAAGCCAGCCGGAACTCCATTCCTGCGCGTTCCTGCCCCCAAATAGCCCTGCGTAGTACATTCCATGCATTCCATGCCTTTTCTGTGTTTCTGCAGAACTGCAGCACAAATAGCCCTACGAGAAGAGAAGTGATGCTACTAAATCCTTAATAAAAATAGACGCATGTTAAGGCCTTTCAGAAACCTATTGCTCCTGAATACATGTTATAGACAAGCAACTGGCCATTGTGTAGCACAGGGGATCCCAAGAGCCAGGAGCTTTGTTTTCTAGTTGTCTTAAGTGTTGGGGTTGCTATCCTTTGCTTTTTCTGCTGTGGGCTGTCTCCTTTTTCATTGTGTGATTCAGGCCAGACATGCAGCAATCTGGGATGGCGATGAGGTACCATTTCAGACTCCAGGTGGGGTTCAAATTTTTAAATGCTTCCCGACATAAAGATAAGAAGTTAGCACAGTAGAACTGTTTGATACACTTGCTTTTCATTTGAAGGGAGTTTGTTTCTTGATGTGGGGGAGCATTCAGAAATGGCACCCCTGTGGTTCACCTCAGGATTCTACCTGCTCATTTGCTGCAGGTGAGGAAGACCAGACTACACTCCTTAGCAGCAAAGGCAGTATGTGTCAGACTTTTCCCTGAATGGCAAGGTCTTCCCAGAGTGCACTGCTGTTGTGGCCAGGAATGCATTTCAGACACTGTGCAGCTAGATAATAAGGGTCAATAGAGACGCTTGTCATTGACCCCCCAGCCACTGTTCTTAATCATGGGACAGACAAACCTGGTTATGATGAACCTTCAGCAAATGCCTATCCCTCTGTCTGATGTAGTGTTATGAAAATACATTTGCCTGACTTGGCTCTGAGACTGTCAAATGCAGAGATCTGCCACTTCCATCCCAGGGCGCCAATTGGCCAGTGCCCTAGGAAGAAGCCCAATCTTCTTTTCCTTTCACATCAGGATAAAAGGCTGCAGAGAAAAGGAGCCATCACCAGTTCTAGAGTATCCACAAAGTAGTTTTCAGAATTAATGCCTTAAGGTGGAGGGTCTGGTCTCTTCCATTCCCTGCCTATTTCCACACATTTGTCGTGCTTTTTTCATAACTCACTTTAAGTTTGACACCTGCTGTGATAAAAATGTGGCATGTCAGTATTTTAAATTGTTTACATGGAAGGAATCCCCTCATTTCCCCAGTGCTGGGAGCAATGAGGTCACTGCACAAGAAACAACACACAGAGAGGCACAAAGTGTCACTTGCTTTCACTGAGTGAAGGGATGGATTTGGGCTGGCGGCAGCAGGGCAGCAGCTTGAGGAACCGCTGCTTCAGGGCTTTTTTAGCATGGCCAGGTGGGTTGCCTGCAAAGAAAGGGCAATTGCCAACCAGGAGAAGAGTTAATATATCACAGCATCCCTCACCAGCACCCCTCCCCAATCCCTAGTTGCCAGCTGCAACAGACATGGTGTGAATCATGCATGCATTGCTTCATTGCAGCAGGAAAGCAGATCCAGCACAGACATAGTGCATCCAGCAAGGACTCGGACCTCTGAGCACAGAGTCCCCAGTGTCAAGAATCAGTGAGAATGGGAAGGAAATGATGACAGAAGATGAGGCAAACGACTGCACCTAGATGCTGATGTATATTATTGTTCTTAAGAAACTTCCCTCTCCACTGGATGCACGAGACAGAACTTCTGAGAGTGGAATATCAGCTGGCTGGACAGTGGCATGGTGTAACAATGGCTCACATCCAGTCAGCCAGGACTGGAGGGTAAACTTGCAGTTCTTGGAAGAAAAGGAAATTCGGTGAGCAAGGGACCGCAAATAAGGAGTTTGTGGGGTTCTGTTCCAGGTTCTGGAGGGCAGCCATGGCTTGGTGGAGAAGGAATTTCATTCAAGAATGGTTCAATAAGGTTACTTTCATCACATATGCCATGCAATCTCAGACAACAGGATTATAAACCTGAGCTGCATAAATTAGATTGCTACATGCAAGTGCAGCCAACATGGTAGGAGGAATGGCATGAAATGAAAGGGGCAGACGAGCTGTGCTGAGATAGTCCTCTTAACTTTTGCCTGTGTTACTGGGAGACTCAACTAGCTCCACAGGTCTCCCTGTCCATTTTTAATGCAAAAAAAGAAAGGTCTACTTTTTCAGTCACCAATCAAACCAAAAACTAAGGCTAATATTGCAACCCTACACATAGAAATCTGTAGGATATTCTTCTGAATACACATATTTAAGATCAGGTTCCCAAGCCCTTAATTGTACATTTGTGTTCAGTTTGTTTCAGTAGCATTTAGACACCCCTACCCTTTTATTATTCTTTCGATGTTCAACTCCCCATTACATTATAAAGGTTTCATGAGCCACCAGTCCCCTCCCTGTCAAGCTGTGCTGCTATAAAACCAGAATTGTACAGCTAACTATGGGATCTACCTTGTTTTGATAAATCGGGGGGATGGGGTCAAAAATGGGCCAATATAAATAATCATAGGTTATGTTCCCCAAGCTGGAATTCAGGATGAATGAATCCCTGCTCATGGGGTAGTCCACTAAACCAAGTATCTGTCACCCTCCAAATTTATCAGGGTACTAGGCTAGTACTGCTACCTGTTAGTACTGCCTCTTCCTACTATGAAAGCAGCTGTTCCTCATGTGAAAAACAAGTGTTTTGTTAGCTAAAAGTGAACCATGGTTGATCCATGGGTGGTTTGGAGTACAAGAAGTGGAAACAACTCCATAGGCTTGCTCACATCCCTCAGTCTTCTTGACATCTAAGAAGGCAGGTCAACAGCAGGTTCTCTGCCAAGGATTTTTTGATCCATAAGACTCCATCACATATTTCCTTTAAACTGAGCCAGTGTTATCTGAGAAGTTAAGTATACCTATGAATGCTTTGAGCTTACTTCCTGCTTTAAAATTATTTAAAGCACAAGCAATTTCTATGGATGCATTTGTGTTTGGAGTCTGACAGGGTCCTTCTAGATTTAGCTATCCACCCCTGCCTAAGGAATACTCATAGAAAAAAAGAAGGGGAGGGGGAATTAGCCCTTTGGACAAGATATCCTGGAGAAGAAGATTGGGGGGGGGGACGACAAAAGGATTTCAAGCTTGTTTCCTTTTCCTGTGATTCCTCATTGGCCTCCAGCTAGCTATCGTGGTAATTTTAAAAGGAATGCACAGGACTTGGTGCAGAGGAGAATGTAGCCAGGCCAACAGAGGGAGAAGACACACCTGGCTCTATTTCTCAGGCACGTCCTTTGCCACTTATTCATAGTGGATGACTTAACATTAAATGTATTCCATACAAACGAGTTGCATTTTACACAAAGATCTACTTAAATCATGTCCTGCATAAAGAAACATACAGAGGGTCTGTGGCTCAGTGGTAGAGCATTTGCTTGATATGCAGAAGGTCCCAATTCAATCCCTGGCACCTCCAGTTAAAGGGATCAGGTATCAGGTGTATGAAAGAGCACTGCCTGAAACCCTGGAAAGCTGCTGCTGGTCTGAGTAGACAGTACTGTACTGAGTAGACAGTACCGATGGTCTGCTTCAGTATAAGGCAGCTTCATGTGTTCATATGGCACAACCAAAACTATTCAGGAAACCTGATGAGAGATGGAGTGTACAAAAGTTACCTGTTAAAGACAGAGAGTGCCAATTTATGGGAAGTGCAGAGAACAGAAGTTCATAATCCCTTCCCTCTATACTCTAGGGAAGGGGTGCTGAAGAGAAACATTTCCATGAAATATATGTTGTCCCTGGCCTACAAGTAGGGGGAGGGATCCTGCATATGTTTTCTGCCCAAGAATCAGATTTATTGTGCATTTATAATATCACCTCTTGTTTACTTCTCGTCAATTGAATTGCTGCTGACATTGCTGGTGAGTAAACAGCCAGAATAGATGTGATTTGAGATCATCCAGCCCTCCCTCCCTCCATACCTCTTCCACAAATTAAAACACTCTTCCAAAATTGCAATTAGCTGTGCATGAAGGAAAAGACAGGTATGTGTCTGCAAATGAACCTGTCCCTCCCCCCTACACTGCTAACTGTTTCATCCAGCGACTATTCCCCTGTCTCCAAAGCAGTCTGAGGATGTTAATATTCTATTGAAATAAAACATGGAGGATCATGGCTCTTTTGGGGTCATGCATATTTTGGGCCTTTCAGTATGTTTGTATCTGTGTTCACATGTGTGTGTGTGTCTGTGTGTGTGTGTGTATGTGCACAAGTGCATGTGCTCATTCATTCCATAATTTTAATGCAGAAACAAAGCAGAACATCATTGAAAACCTCTAGCAATGACAGAAGCAGACAAGCTGGAATAACAACAGACAGAGATAAGCAATACAGGAAAACAAGGAAAAATAAAATAAACATAAAATGAAATAATAAGCATGATTCACACAACCAGGCCATTAGGAGCACAAGAAGCAGGCCAGGCCAGATGAAAGGGCATTTCAAGGAATTAAGGGAACTAAAGTCACCCAAAACATTTACAGAAGAGGTGGAAAAGAATCCATTGACAGTAGGTTCCAGTAAAGGATATGAATATGGCAACATGCTATTCAAAACGATAAATGGTTTGGGGAAGGTTGGGGTTTTTTTTTTGCTGTCCTGGCTTTGGGTGTTCAGCACCTACCCTCTTGCCACAAAGAGCGGCATTAGAAGAATACCTTTAGATACTAGTTGCTCACTCCCTCTCACATAGTTTCTCCTGCTCTGTATGATCCATTGAACACAATCAAACCATTTGACTTCCATCATGCAAAAGGACAGATAATTCCTGCGCAGAGTGCAAAATACACACTTGCTGTGTCTTACAGATTTTATTTCACAAAACAGACCTATGAGACTGAGCAGCTTTTGCTCCAGCTTTTGACCACACAGATTTTACAAACATGCTCCAAAGAAAATAGGAGGATTCACCAGTCTTGAGGTTGACAACTGTCTGTCTTGCAAGTGCAACATATCTTTAGTTTTCTTCCAGCGCAGTCCTAAGCACAGCCTCACCCTTTTAAGTCCACTGATGTCAACAGGCTTGGAAAAGTATAACTCTGCTAAGGATGGCCATGTTGAAGAGCTATATGATGTTCTGTTCTCCCTTGGCTTCCTTCTCCACTATTCTCTCTCTCTCTCTCTCTCTCTCTCTCTCTCTCTCTCTCTCTCTCTCTCTCTCTCTCTCACACACACACACACACACACACACACACACACACACACACAAACACACACACACACAGACAGAGCATACTGCAAAATGGCTTTTGCTGATCCTGGACTTTCTTCTGCTCATCTCAGCGACATGTTTACTGTCTAACTGTGGCTGTCAGTGAAATGCCTCAGCTTCAGCTGGTTTTGTTACCCTGCCAACTACAGCAAGACTTCTGTTCCTGTCCACCTTCTTTGGACCCTCGGCACCCTACCTTTGATTCTTTCTTGATGAATTATCTTTCTTTTCATTCTCTCCCCCATAATTTTCCATCTGGTACATACTGTAACCTCCTTCTAAGACGCTCCCCTGATGTGATAGACCTTGATTCCCGGTGCTAGCAGTACCTTCTCTCTTGCAGAGAACAATGAACAATCATTTCAGGAAAGCTATCCCCAGGATCACACAGCAAACCAACCACAGCCTCCAAATATGCTTAAAGAAACTGGGATGCAAAAGCCAGAATTCACAGAAACAGACCAAGAGGAGTAAGTTCTGTTGTAAATATTTGTGCCCAGGATCATTTGCCCGTCAATTAACTGACTCCATTGAAAACGAGCTTTTCCAAGATGAGCCTGGTACTCAGGAGAGCAGCTAGCGAGAGTAAAGACCGGAACACACTGTTGAGATCCCACCGAGGTCAGTCCCCCAAATGCAACTCAACCCCGAAAGAATCTTCAAAGAGAAAACTAAAAGCTATGCTGGCAACATTTCATAAACAGCTGAGATAAACCACAGAAGAGGGACAATTCAGAGTCCTCTGTTGAAGGACAAAACTGAGGGTGCAACAGCTCATGAAGTGCTTCTGTGTGCCTCTGTGGTGGGAGGGAAGGAAGCATGCAGACATCGGAAAAGACAGAATAAGAAACAAATTCAGGAGTTGGCCTTGGTACTACAATGGTAATTTAATTTCCCCACTTAAACCACTAGGGGATGCCAAATTAACCCATACTATCCAACTTCTCTCTCCTCACACAGAAGTAACTGAAACCAAACGATGATCAAACTGTAATAAGGCAGAAACATACAAATGTTGCCAGGTTGGTGCTGCTGTTTTTGTTAGACCTTACAGCAGCGTTCGACACGGTCGACCACAATCTGTTGACCCTTTGCCTCACTGACATAGGAGTTCATGG